GAAGGGGAAGCCCTTATGGATCAATTTATAGAGAAGGCCCTTGTGCCACACCTTGTCAAATGCCTTTGAGACATCCAGTAGCAAGATGCCAGTACTTTCGTTACGCGTGAACTCCCTGGTTCAACAAGCCTTATGGCCTGTAGCTCCGTATTATGCTCAGACCGTCAGGAATCACATTGTGGTCTGCCAAGAAATTTTCAAGGTGACGTAGAATCACCTTTTCAGCGAGCTTAGAAGGAGCTGACAGTATACTAATGGGGCGATAATCCTGGGGGAATATCGAACCCACCTTCTTTGGAATCATTATGACATCAACGGTCTTCCACGCCGTTGGGAAGTGCTGGGTCCTTAGCATGGCATTGATTATTGCCACGAGATAAGTTAAGGACTTCCGCGAAAGTAGCTTCAGCGCCTTATTAGTGATTCGATCCTCTCCAGGTGCTTTACGCACCTTGAGGTCTTTAATTTGACCTTGGAGCTCTGCTGGTGTGCAATGCGGAGTCTCAGGAGATTCCGCTGATGTGCCGTTCAGCTCTTCAATTGAGGAATCTTTCGAAGATTCATCTGAGGAAAAATCACTAAGGGAGGCACTACTGCCACTGACGCCGTTGACCCTAAAATATCTCCTGACGGATCTAACACTCGTCGAGCGACTTTGCAACTTTCCAGAGAGGAATACTTGAGTCATGTCTGCAGAGAAAACCGGGTGTCTATGGTTTTCATCTCTGAGTCTCTAAGAAGATAGTTGATTATTTAGCTGAATAGCAAGATCGCATCTGGAGGATTGTATGTATTGGTCTGCATGTGTATAAAATCAGTGATATTTACTGTGTGAGAAAATCATGACTGAATATACTGCCAATGAAGTATATCTATTAGCTGTACCCGACGGATTAATTATATGTTGTCCTTTCGGAAGACAGGTTTGCGTTTTCAAAAAATTTGAGGAGAATTATGGGAAATCACCGCGTTGTGTGTAATTACTATTAGCAGGTATATGACTTGTAATTCGACAGTGTACAGTCAATATAATTCTTTCTTATCTCTTTCATTTTTGAAATTCAGCAAATTTGCATATGTAATTTCCTCAATGGATAAGAAAAAGTGGATGTAATTTCTAGCTTTGAATCTCAAGTAAGCGTATTTGAGACAAAAATCCAATGGAATTATCATCCAGTAATGACATCTATGAAGCAGATTTTACATCACATCGTAGCGAAACATTGATAATTGAAGCCTTTTGACGTTTAGGCAACACGTAAAACTACAAAACGAGTTTACAAAACTGTCCATCAGCTAGTGCTAAGTTAAAATCTCGTCGAAAAACCTACATAATGTCAAAAAACCAGTATAATGTCAAAAAAAAATCGGTATCTATACAGTCACTTTTCAAGATACGTAATAGGTACCCGTGGGGATCATTTTCAGAAAAATGTTTGCATAGGTTAAAAATTGAAGGTTGGAGAGTGTATATCTCAATTTTTTTGGCGTTAGTATATTTATGCTTCCAGCTAGGTAATTCTACGCACCTATTATAGTAAAATAAAAACATTGATGACAGTAGCGAAACTAAGCTTAGAATGGTAGAGGAATATTTGCAACATTAGCCATAGAAATGTTGCCAGATGGTCGATACTGTCGGTTGGGCAGATGATAAAATTCTGGATTGCAACGTCAAATTCATGTTGACCATGAACTAATTGTACGGGCCTGTTTAACTGACTTGATCCATTTAATTATTTTGTTATATTCTAGGGAATGATGTTACTACTTGCGTGAGCTCCTTAAATCTCGGGGCCCTGGCTCACTGTCCCGTTTTACCCTTCAATAACTACGACCCTGGATCATGATTTGCTGGAGGCCGATACCGTAGGGAATGGCGCCAACGCCAACGAACGGAGCATCAAGTTTGTTTAATAGCGATGATCCGATTTAATAACCAGTCAGTAGGCATCAGACAACAGCAACCCCTTTATTAATAAATTAACCAAACGAAAACGAACTCACATACACCACCATATCGCAGCCCGGTTTCGGCTTGTTTTCCTAGTCGAGGTTGCTCAAAATCTAAACATCATATCTAACAACGCATATACACAAGGAAACAGATGCAGAAACGAAAGCGGATTTCGAACGTAAGGTCAACAATTGAAACGGTCAGTGCAAAAGCTGCTTCATTTTTTACCAACATGCTTTTTTACTAAAAACGCTTCATTAAAAGGTATCCTGGGTAAACACCTCGTAAGTTACTACATACCTTCCGCTTCAAATTACACCACATAATACACGTTCGATACAAAAATATGTTAGCCCTGCACTTACTTACGTGGTTTTTGCACGTACTCCTCGTCGCGACGGCGAGTACTTGGATGGCTCATTTCAAAAACAGTACCAGTATCGCTCAGACTTGTGTAGTATTCGAATACTCAGTATTTTGTATCAAATTCAGAATACATTAAACAAATCAATAGAAAGAGAAGTATACTCTCGCGGGATATTATTATAAAGTTTACTGATATTATACGAAAAAGATCTTTCGAATAAGGTGGTAGAATGAAGTTTTGTTTTGTTGCGGGTATTGCGATTGTGAGCAAGGTAACGGAAATGCATTTTTTCGTGTAAGTAGGATGGTAGTTTATGTATCTTATGGTACTGTACGAGGCTATGAAGCAACCTGCGTTACTTCATGTTCAGCCAGCCAGCATCAGTAAGCTTTGATGAAAAACAGAATCGTATTTTCGTAGACCAAAAATAAGTATCAGACAAGAATTTTGCACGCATTGTATTTTATCAGAGGTGAATTTGATTAGACATTTGTCATAGACGACATCACAGAAGTTAAAATGCGACAGAACAAAAGCATTGCATAGTATGACTTTAGTTTTTTGGTTCATGTAAGATTTTTGACCGTATATCGTCTTTAAATTACAATACACCCTTCTGGAGCACTTGTTAACATGATCCTCAAACCTTAAGTTTTTGCCAAGGTATAAGCCTAAATTACGCGCTATCGAGCTTATTTCTAATGTATTGTTATCGAGGTTTATTTTCACCAGAGGTTCACAATGGTCTCTCCAATTTTTCGGCCCGAATAACATGACTGTACTTTTAGCCGGATTCAAGTCTAAGCATATGTTTCGAGACGCTTTAGTGAGACGGTCAAGGTCTTTATTTATCAGCTCAACAGCAGGCAATATTTGAGCTGGAAGAAATGATAAGTACACTTGTGTATCATCTGCATAAAAAGGAGCTTTACAAGAGTGAAGACTGAAGTATAGATTAGAGGTGTAAATAATGAACATTAGCGGACCCAGAATAGACCCCTGAGGAACACCAATGGTCACATTCAATGGCGTGGACTACTTATCATTCAGCATAACCTGCTGTTGACGATCGCTGAAGTAGACTCTGCATCGGCCGAGAATCCATAAAGTGGAACATGGCTGATGTATCCTGTCAAATGCCTTCGTATAATCTAAGAGCACCAAGGCAGTCTGGTTACTTTTGTCAGCACTGAATAATATATCATCCACCACTCCCAGCAATGCTGTTGCACAGCTATGCGCCGGACGGAACCCTGATTGTGTATCTATAATGAGGTTATTCGTTCTTAAGTGTTCTCTTATCTGAACATCCATTATTGATTCAAGCAATTTATACAATGTTGGCAAAATACTAATATAACGCAAATCCTTGAGCTCAGATGGCTGAGCAACTTTGGGCAAAGGCACAATCAAAGCGTGTTTCCAGCAAAAAGAAAAAAGCGACGCAATATGCATTCATTAATGATATGTATAATGAAAGGAATAATTTTGGGGCAGCAATACAACAGCATTTTGATATTTATCAAATAAGCACCAAATGCTTTGGTTTTGAAGCCAAACAAAGTATCTTTCGCCTGATTTGTGGACGCCAAAGCGAATTCAAAGAGGGATACATTAGGTTTGACATTATTCTTATCAGGTTCTATACCTGCACTAGATAAAAACGTAAAGTATATTATTGCCAAAGTTCATAGCTTCCAAATCTTTCCATAGAGTCTTATAGTTCGTACTGCTAATTTTATGTTCCAAATAAATCTTTTTAGCATTATCAGTTGCATCACTTTTTTAACAGTTGTCTTTAAGTAGCTGTTCGTAAAGATAGTATGGAATTACACGCCCAACACCTATCTTGCAATGTCAGTACTTTTTGATAAATGGTAATCAAATAAACATGTGGATTCTTCTACAACCGATTGCTCATTATTGAAAAAAGTTGAACAAATAAGTGTAAGATGTATTTTTTTACGATTGTCGATTCGTGGTTTAGATGAAAAACGGGAGTTTTGACTTTCTCAGATGCTTGCTTTGCCCGGGTTTTCCCGACGTTATATGAAAACATGCAAAATTAAAACATGTGGTATGTTAGTAAATCAATATTTAACTCTAACTTTCAATAATATCAATGAAAAATGTGATGAATTTGATTATGTTGCTTAAGTTATATACCACCAGCCCTATCTTCCTGCTAGAAAAACAGCCATAACAGTTTTTCTGGCTTTTTACAAGATTATTATTAATAAATTGTGCAGGTTATTTGAACATTCATTTTTTAGAAGATAAATACTACATTAAACCCAGAAGTACCTTCAAACTGGTTTATATATATTCAAATACATTCAAATTATGAAACTTTGCACTGACCGATGCAATTAAACTTTAAGGTTACAGGTGGTCGATATACCAACGGGCTTTGCTTCTCTGAGTTTTAGGAGTGCCAGGCGGACCAAATCAGTCCTTTGTTTCTGATTCTAACTTGGTCCGAAATCTGACTGAATGTACCCCAAACCTTATTCTCGTGTTTCAATTCCCTTTCCAGTGCGTGCCTGAGCATTTATGAGAATAGGAATACGAGATTTTGAAGATTACTAGCTGATATTTTTCTTGATGCAGCGCAAATGAGATATGAATACAATTTACATTGTTTCTGAAATAGATATTCAGGAATGAATACTTTACCATTATCAGAGTCTTTATCACCTGGCTCCTGTTTGATAGCTGTAGTCCTGGAACCTTCAGCAGGCTGGAGAACCGTGTCCTGAGGAGGTGACCTGCTGTAAGGAGGGTAAAAACACCCAGTAGCATGGTGTGGATGGCAGCTGGTAGGGTATTCTGGTAGAACTGTGCCGGGTGGATAGCAGGGTGGGTAGATTTGCTTAGATGGACTGCTCATAGACGGCGAAGATGATTTCAGGTCTATAAAAATGAATATCTCATGAACAATGGTAAAACTTCCTTATCAGTTTCTCTCTGTCGATCTTTACTATAATCAAAAAACAACATTTTGGAGAGTCAAGCTTCTGCAGACAGTTTTTTTCGATATACATAAACAAGATGATGAAATTTGAAACAAGTTCACATAAACGTGGAATCAGAAGTTTCCATAAACTTGTTTAAACTAGTATTTGATAGTCTACCTTACATTTCACGAAAACAGTGCGAGATAAGTTTTGGTACACAAAAATATGTGTTATGTTACATTAACACGTATAAAATTCTAAATCAGTAATTAAACCTGCTGACCATAAAGGTGCGCTGTTATGTTTTTCCAGTACAACTATACGGCATAGAAGCATGAATAATCATTGAAACACAGGGGTTCGAAAATCCTAAGACGTAGTCAGAACTAGAAAGATCCACTAAATTTCACAAGAAAAACTGTATGTATATGTTTTCTGGGCCCCTGATAACGAATAAGGGTATCCCTTTGTTAAAAAACAAAATATCGGATCCAACATGGTGGACGTGTTTTGAAAAAGATGTTTGGATTACGCTGAAATTCGAGTATTGTATGTTTTTGTGGTTGCTGATAACGAATTGGATATAAATTCTTTCGAAATTAATATACGGATATGTTTGCAAAAAATGTTTCGATTACTATCGAATATGAGGTTTTTATGTTTTAAGGGTCGCTGATAACAAAATTATTATCGAATTACTAATAATCAAATTGATGGACTTGCAAAAATTGGTTTAGTTGCGCTCTATTTTGTGTTTTATATGGTTTCCTAGTATTTTTACAATTATTGTATACTGTCGCATATACAGGGTGGCGCATCGAAAACGATACAGACGCATTTACTGGCAGCTCAGTTTTTTTTTGGAAAAACGCTCAGACCCGTCGATTTTGTTTTCGAGGGGGACATAAGTTTGGCAAAAAATCACGTTAACACGTGCAGCCCCCTGGGCGGAGGTGATACCAACCCTAAAATCTTAAATGGAAAGGGGGGTCGAGTGATACCTTATTTTAAAGGTCTTTCAATTTCCTTTATAATGATATAAAATTAATGTACTTCAGTTCAGTAGTTTTGAAGATTTATTGATTTAAAGCTTAAATAAAACTAATACATTATCATTAGTGGAGATCACCCGTTAGGCAAGTAAATGTTGAAAATGGCCACCATGACTCTCCATGCAATAATAAAGATTTAGCTCAAAACGTTGTCGCACATTTTGCAATATTTGAGGAGTAATTTGAAGGCACTCATTCACAATTCTTTGTCGCAGGTCTTCTAATGATGTTGACTGAGTAGCATAGATTTTGCTTTTCAAATGACCCCACATAAAGAAATCCACAGGTGATAAATCTGGCGATCTTGGGGACCATTCAATGGCACTTCTTCTACCAATCCATCCATCTGGAAACGTCTGTTCTAAATATTGTCGAACACGTAATGCGTAATGTGGTGGGGCACCATCCTTTTGGAACATCAACCTATTCGCAATGTACCGCCGATCATTCTGATTTTCAATTATGGCTGTTAATGCAGGATCTATGGCGTCTTCCAGTAATTCCAAATACATTTCACCGGTCAAATTTCCAGATAAGAAAAAAGGACCAACTAAATGATCGCCAAAAATACCAGCCCAAACATTTAATTTTTGTGGCTGCTGTGTATGAACCTCATGATAAATTCTGGGATTAGAATAGGACCAATATCGGCAGTTATGACGATTTACTACTCCATTTAAGAAAAAGGAATATTCGTCGGAAAAGCAAGTGTTGAATATAAAATGTTCATCGTTTATAATTCGTTCACTCATATCTTCACAAAATTGTAATCGCTGATCAATATCGTCTTCATTAGGTTCTTGCACCAGGTGAATTTTATACGGATGAAAACTATGGGCCTTTAGAATTCGTTGGACAGTACGTCGACTAACACCACACACAGTGTCCAATTTGCGGGTACTTAACGTAGGATCTACATAAACTTGCCCTAAAACCCCCACTTCTATTGCTTCGTTCCTTATGGGATTTTCAATGTTGCGTTTTTTATTGGCGACTGACCCAGTTTCCCGAAATTTAGCTACAAGTTCTAGAACATATTTTCGATGCACGTTACTGTTCTCATGTCGTTCATTAAATATTTCTGCTGTTCTATTAGCGCACTGATTATTTCCGAAAAATATTTCGATAATTTCAACTCTTTCTGCTGTGGAATATACCATCGTTAATTTATGTAGTAAAGCGTTACAAGTTATTTTAACAACCAAGTTTGGTCAAATCAATCGCAAACTATGTACTAAATTCATATTTAAAATAAGTACGAGATATTTCCTTATCTTTCTTCAAGAAATAACTTTTTTGCCACAAAAAAACGCTCCAATAGCTATTTTCAACAACAAAATGATAAACAAACCATGGGCGTAGTGAAGAAAAGCATTTACTTATTAAGTAAATTCTTTTAGTCAAATTTCTTCTGAAAGTAGTACAAACTAATCTGATGTACCTATTAAAGTCTACTTTAAGATTTAAATCAACAAATCTTCAAAACTACTGAACTGAAGCTCATGTATTTTACATCATTATAAAGGGAATTCAAAGACCTTTAAAATAAGGTATCACTCGACCCCTCTTCCATTTAAGATTTTAGGGTTCGTGTTTTTCAAAAAAAAAAAACTGAGCTGCCAGTAAATGCGTCTGTTTCGTTTTCGATGCGCCACCCTGTATATATATATACTTGTACATGCTTAATTTATCCTCCATTTTTTCTGACAGCAATAAATAACACCCTGTATTTATGTAAGAAATCAATGGATTTCATCATCATGTAGAACTGCTTCTAGGCATATTTTTTAATTATCGCGCCCCCGGTGATTTGTCGCTCCACATCGGCTTAATATTTTAAGGAAATCATCGCGCGTCTTGTTTGCTTATCAGATTTAAAAATTATCAGCTTTCCATCTCCTGTTTCTACCCCTCAGTTTCCTCTCTACCATGAACTCACTTTACGTACAATGATTTAACGGCGTTATGTATTAACACATTGGTTCGAATCATCGGTTAAAGGAGGCTTCGTAATCTGTACCTGATACACCTAATCGATTTTGGAGTAAAAATATGTTATACACCATAGCATCGTTGATGATTTGTATCCAGGATGTCCCGGAAGTTGGAATTTTTGTTTCAGAAACAACTACGTTTGAATCAACAAAGTTATTTTGAGGTAAACAGCACCGAAAACGTAAAAAAGAAATTAAGAAAAATAGTTACAATTTGTTTGGAACGGCGTTTCAAGTACGCGCCTGCCAGATGTGTTGTTTGTAATTACTGCTTCAAGTTGTCGCTGTTCTATTTACGAGTTGGCTTACTTCTGCCTAAAGTTGCAACATTCGGCTCCTCTACATCCAGACGACCTTTGTAGGATATAAACAAACCAACGGAGTATCAATAGGAACTTGAACACGCTCACAGTGAACTAACATCGAATCGGTAACTACGTTATTACTGTAGGAATGTGTCAACTTCGGTTTTCAAATGCGGTTTGCTTATAAACTAGGTTAGCCCACATATCGCGCACTGCCTGATTTTGATACTGACTCAAATAGTCATAGTATCACAATACATCATACCCTTTGACGTAAGAGGAGAGGTATGCAAAGTCGAATGGCTTATTTAGAGTTTTCGGAACTTATTATCTGTGTTACCTTGAGGCTTTGATTTATTTGTTACTAGGAAAACTTGCTTATTATAGCATGAACTATACGCTCTGTAAAGGCAAGTCCTAACATTGAGGATATTAAATACGTAAAACTCAAAATCTGTAAAAAAATATCGGTTTTTATACAGGGTGCTGCAGAGAGGATGGACGGTTTTAAAAAAATCATAAAATAGTTAATTTTTACTTGAAAACAAATTTATTGATGGAATTAGGTTCACAAGGAAATAGCATTTGAGACAGTCAAGTGTGGAAAATCACATCAGGCATGTGGTGGCCGAAATCGTTGCTGGAGGCGTTCTTGGAAGTTCGCGTAGACTCTCTCCAACATCGCTCTCTCAACTTGGGCGACTTCCACGCGAATTTCGCCCTTCAATTCGTCCAGAGTTCGGGGCTTTTTCACGTATACTCTAGCCTTGAGGTGTCCCCATAAGAAAAAATTACATATGGATAAATCTGGGGACCGAGGAGGCCAATGATCATCGCCAGACCTGGAAATAAGGCGACCAGGGAAGACAGGCCGAATAACGTCCATGGATGCTCGGGCTGTGTGGGCGGTCGCCCCATCCTGCTGGAACCACACACGTCTGATTGGAACACGTCGCCGTCGTAATTCAGGGAGAAAGAAGTTGGTGGTCATGTCCACGTAGCGCTCTGAGTTCACGGTAACATCACGACCATTACCGTCTTCGAAGAAGTAAGGGCCAATGATGCAAGTTTGCGATACAGCACACCAAACCGTTACTTTTGGGCTGTGCAGCGGTCTTTCGTGTAACTGTTGCCGATTTTCATTAGCCCAATAACGACAATTCTGCTGGTTAACCATGCTGTTTAGGTGAAAGTGGGTTTCGTCACTCATAAAAAAATGAGGTTCTCATTTTGATCGATCAGTGCTTCCATCGCACGTGCGAAGTTCATTCGTTGTGCATAATCTCCGAGCTGTAACTGTTGCACAATGGCCAATTTGTAGGGGTGATAGCGGAGATCCATATGCAAAATTCACCTTACCGAACGATCACTAAGGCGAAGTGCAGCAGCATGTTCCCGGGCAGATCGAGTCGGACTGCGAAGAAAGACCTGTCGAACGCGTTAAACATTTTCAAGAGTTCGAACTGTTTGCGGCGCTCCTCTTGGTCTTCTGTTGATCAGTTTACCACGCCTGCGAAGTGATTGAACCCAACGAAGGATGGTGTTTCGAGAGGGAACAGATCTATTCCGATGAATGTTGAAGTGGCGACGAAACTCACGCTCTACGACGATAACTGACTCATTATTTCGGACGAAACAATCATAGGCGAAAACGCGCTGCTCCACCGTCCAAGGCTCCATAACGACAACTGGTAAAATAATGCTAGGATCTCACGAGTCAAACGGCACCCTCCCCACCTCTCTCGCAGACGGAGGCGGAGAGTACTACCCATCCCAAAAACGTCCGTCCTCTCTGCCGCACCCTGTATTTTCAAGCTGTTGGAAAGCCCCATTTTGAGTAAGAAAATCACTGAATGATCTCAGCAATAGCCTGGCATAAGATGTGTGAATGATTTTCTTACTGTAGAGTGTTAGATAGCTGACTTATACAGGGTGTTTCAAATTCGACCCTCACCATTGGGATCTCGGGAACTGTAAGAGATACGAATTCGCATAAATGGAGGCAAACTTGCGTATTAGATCAATAAAATGCCGCTTATAAAGTTTCGAAATTCCTTATGTGGGCACAGTCAACGGTAATGTTTCAAGTCATATAGGTCTAATACAAACACAGATGTAACGTGTTTAAATGAGGTGTTTAGTAGGTTTATCTTCTTTTTTAAACCCTGTTTTATTTATATTTCAAAAAATATATATTATCAAACATCTTGCAGAGGATAATAAGTAACAATGACAACTTGTAATTTATTTTGAAATCTCATCTCAAATAAAGTCAGGAGAAAATAAAAGTGATTTTGGGATAAGTCTGGTATGCGAAACATATGACAATCTGATAAGTTGTTGACCTACCTAGGAAATTCTGCTTTTTTTGAATTAACTAAAATTTGACAATGTCAATGTATAGTTATGCTACATTTTCGGATTCGGAATTAAAAACTCTATTCATTTGTGCAAAAATCTAATATAATCTAATAATCTCTGAGAAAAAATAAAGTTGATGCTAGAGAATAAAGTTGATGCTGGAGGACAAGAGACGTAACACCATATCGAAATTCTAATTATGCCATCTTGTAGAGCAGAAAAAGTGGCAATGTTAATGTGCAAGTTATTTTGAAATCAAACTACAAATAAAGTCAGGAAAAGGTTACAACGATTTTGGTAAAATTCTGTTTCTATCCGGAAGTACTTTGGGTTTAAAAACTTTCTAATCGGCACTTCGTTGATTACCTAAATATGCAACTTTACCTCCATTTAAGCGACTTCGTACCTATTACAGTTTCCCAGATCCCAATAGTCAATGTTCGAATTTGAAACACCCTGTATATAGCTTACTGATATTTATTTTCATAATGTTGACCTATTTTCAACAATTTGAGGAATTTGATAGAATCTACAAAATCAATGGTTTTGCCACTAAAATTTATATATGAATTTGTAATTTCTTCGTTACAATAATCATAGCTTTCGTTTTGTCAGATTCAAGTTTCAAATCACTATTAATGAGAGATAGCTGATTGGAAATTTTGAGTATCTATATAAATTAACATATCAGCAAAAATTTGGAATTTGCAATTTTTTAGTATACTGGGCAAATCAGAGGGACTCCTTATTTGAACGCTTATTGTAAAGCTTGTTTTAAGTATATCCAACTGTATGTCTTCTTTTTTAAACAAATTTCATTTTCGTTCGTAGAAAAAATTTATTTCTTTTGTTTTTGCCTAAACTATGTTGCAATAGAAATATGTATTTATGTAATATTTACCAATCATTAAATTAGCTTTTTCGTTGCCATGGCTAATTATTCAACAATTCATTTAAATTCGTAGTACATTTCGTATCATGTGACAAATTTTTTAGTTTGATTTTATTCAAAAATGGCACAATTTATCGATATTCAGTAAGAATACCTTTTTTATGTAGAAAAACCTAAATTTTCAAATTCTAAAATTGAGTTTCAAAAATAGAATCACACAAAAATGTTGGGGCTAAAATAACCTGAGTCCGTCCCTGTTACATACGCTTCCAAACAAAACTGTCTAAAATTGTTAATATTTTTAAATCCAGCATAAAAAACTAGCCTAGAATACCAAATTTTATGTCTTAAGGAAAAACCATCTTCAGGTTAGCCCCTTTAAAAGACCGTAGCGCCCTTAGGGGACGTTTGTCGACCTATGTTTATATAAACTTTTCTTCCTATTTTAAGCTCTAGAAACCGCTGGTAGAATATTGCACACTTTTATCTCATCTCCAGTTTTCAGTCACTGGTAGAGCGCTGTTTCTATTGAAAATTTCTTCCGAAATCCTGATTTCAACTAAAATGTTCTTCTATGAATCCCAATATTTGAAAAACTATCGATTCTAATAATTTCTCAAAAATAGAACATTCACTAGTCTCAATTCATATGCTTAAATGGACACGGCTAAAATGGACAACGTGACTTTACGTCTCTGTAACCATGACCAACCGCAAACAGTGATGTGTCCTTCTCATTAGCAATTAACCAGTTCTGTATATATTTCACATCTAGTCTTGGAGACAGATGAAACGGAAAGCAAACAATTGGATATGGTCTTTTTTAAAACTGAAAATCTGACGATCACCACCTAGCAATGATGCTAATGACCACGAAACAGCGCTGTCTGCGGTTGGTCATGACTACAGGAGACGTAAAGCAAACATGGCTATTTCAGCCGTACAATGACATTGCTCCATTATTTTCTAAACTGCTACCTCCGAGTGCTCTTATATTATTGTATATTTTATCGAAACCTTTCGGCAAGCCGCGTTGTCAGTGGCATCTGACATGAACTTTCGACTTTGTGACTGCAGTAGTAGGTTTTCTCCTGTAGCGAACGCCCGCTGCGTCTTCGGATCGGCCTGTCAAGGGGAGTTTGAACTTATTTTGAGGCACGACGGGCGACGTGAACGTACTGATGCGGCATACTGCGGGAAACATGACAAATCGGTTTCTCTCTGCATTTTGCATTATAGTTTACCCATTTATTCCTTGTATGGACAAACATGTATCCTGCTTTTTTCTGATGGACAACAAATACTCTTGTTTTAAATAACTATGGTAATCATAGCCCAGCCGTGATAAACATATTGCAGCATATGGCGTGGCTATACCGTACGTTTCAAATTCAACCGTCATTGGGATGTCGGAAATGGAAAGAGATATGCTTGGATGGGCGCAAAGTTGCGAATATCGGTAATTTAAATGTCTGCTTAGTAAGTTTCGAAATTCAAAGTATTTCCGGAAAGAGACGGAAAAATCAGAATTAACCTAAAATCGTTTAAATTTTTTCTGGCTTTATTTTTATAGTCCGATTCCAAAATAAATTCCACTGTCATTTTTGCTCCTCTACAAGACTGTATAATTAGAAATTCAATGTAATAATAATAATAATAATAACAATAATAATAATAATTATAATAATAATAATAATAATAATAATAATAATAAATGGTCTTTATTCATCATTCCAGGTAAGTTACGACAACATTTTTTTATGATGAAATGATGAAAGGCGTAGTTCAGCCTAAGCAACTAAACCCACAAAAAATAACACTCATACAAAATATATATAAAACACAGATATAATATACAATACAAAATAAAACATACGTGATCAACTCATTAAAAAAAGATGACTTAAAAAGAGACTACTCAGGCATTAACCTTCAAAACGTAGCGAGCTGGTTATAACTTAGGCCTATTGTTCGTGCAGGAGATCGGCTTTCAATCTTTTTTTAAAGATTTTTCAGATCTACTGCCAAGCTCTTGTACAGCATTATATGAATAACTGCGCTTAAACAGAGACATTGTATGTTTTGGAATAACGATAACGATAAAGATGTTTATTACGAGTTACTTTATTAACAGGCAGCCTGGTAAGTTTATTGTATAAATATGTCCTACTAGTAACGACGTTTTATCGCTGTTGCTCATATTGGATTTTTGCACAGGAGAATCGAGTTTTTTATACTCATTCCAAAAATGTATATTATGTCATACGTTGACACTGCCCAACGTTAGTTATTTTTAATAAAAAAAAATCCCAGGTAGGCCTTGAAATCATCTCAGATTGTCACTTGTTTCATTTACCAGATTTATCGCAAAATCGTTTATCCTAACTTTATTTGAGTTGGGATTTCAAAATAAATTGCATGGTACTGAAAAATTTTCTCCTCTACAAGATGGCGTAGTAAAATTTTCAATTTAAGGTTTCTTCTTCCGACTTCCATCAACAACTTTGTTTTTTGTATGCATACTATATTAGAATTGTGTATTTTATCAAAATTAATGTTACCTAACTAACACTTACCATTGTGGGTATGACTATGAAAATCATGATCTGGTGGATATTGATCACTTTCGTCTGTCCCACAGCTGTTTCCTACAAAAAGAAATAGTATCTTGAAATAGTTGTAGTCACCGTTCTTGGCGGGTCAATGTAAGACTACCAGTATCTGTTTATATATCTCCATCTCCCAAACACATATACATGCAACCTACCCCCGTGTGTGAACGTTTGTTCGGTAAGCTCAAAGATATACGTTTTTTAGTTGTGTGTCTCAGTCTCGAAAACTTTGTCGTTACGTATGAGTGCCCTTCAATCATATTTGTCAGAGCGACAACTTACTTGACATCGGCGTGAAATTTGAGTTGTCCTGTTATCAATCTTCAATATAAAATTGTACAATGCTCGGAAATATACTAAGTAACATATAAATCCGAACACCCAGTTTAAATGGTTTTATTTTAATAAAAGTTGGTGAATGTATTTATCTTACTGTAAATAACAAGTGAAAAAATTTTCAGCCTTATCAGTTGGACATTCCGGTTTTTATAGAGCTTTTTTTTTAATTCACTAACGCTCTAAAAATGAATATTTCAGCCACAGTAAAGAATCAACGTTGGCGGATTTTGGTTCTTGACATCCTTTACGATCGGTTACGATGCCTAGAGTACGGAGACCTGTAGGATTTCGTCAACTTAGTGAGTTTGATAGGGGCCGTATAGTGGGACTTCGGGAAGCTGGACTTTCTTTTCGGGCAATTGCAGTAAGAGTGCAAAGAAGTGTAGACACTGTGGTTAGGTGTTGTCAGGCATGGCTTCGAGAAGGCCGTACGCAAAGAGCAAGGGACACTGGACGCCGCCGTAGAACAACAGACCGTGAAGATCGCCGCCTAAGATTATTGGCCTTAAGGGACCGTTTCTCCACTATCAGGTCCATTGCAAATGAATGGTTTGCAGAATGCAGAATGAGCAGTTTTGGCTTGTTTTCATACCGGCCACACTGGGTCCTCCCTTTAACTCGAGAACACCGACGTAATCGCCTTGAGTGGTGCAGACAACGGTCACTCTGGGATCAGGAATGGAACAGTATTGTCTTTAGTGACGACTCTCGATTTTGTTTAAGCATGCACGATGGTCGTGCCAGGGTTAGAAGGCGACGTGGTGAAAGGAGGAATCCGCAGTTTTTTGTTGAAAGACATGTTCATCACACTGTTGGAGTTATGGTTTGGGGTGCTATAGCTTATGGTTCCAGGTCACCTTTAATCTTCATCAGAGGTAACATGAACGCGCAGCGTTATATCCACGAAGTTCTAGAACCCCATCTTTTACTATATCTTGACACTCTGGCAGATCCAACTTTCCAACAAGATAATGCCCGACCACATGTTGCAAGAGTCACAATGGACTTCTTTCAACATAATGATGTCACATTGTTACCATGGCCACCAAGATCTCCCGACTTATCCCCAATTGAGCACGTGTGGGATATGATGGGTAGGAGATTGCTCAATTTGCAACGTCCTCATCAGACTCTAGAAGCACTTCAAGAGCAGTTGGTGGTTGTCTGGAATGAGATATCACAGGAGGACATTGACCACCTGATCACAAGCATGCCTAGGCGCGTTGGAGAATGCGTAGCACATCCGGGTGCATCCACACATTATTAAAGGTCAAAGGGCTTTAAAGCAGTGCAATCATTTTGAAATTTTTATCATTTACTTATTATGCTTCATTAAGTACTTATACAAAATTTTATTAAAATAAAACCATTTAGACTGGGTGTTCGGATTTATATGTCACTTAGTATACGATCAATCGAGAAGGCGGACAGCTCGTACTAAATTTATTAGAGTATTTCCTAGAAGAGAATAAAAACAGTGGTCCGCTGTTACCCACTCCATGCGAACTGGAGAGAGTAGGACATGCACTGAAGATTAGTGTGCGCTGTGTTCCGCCCATGCTACGGAGACTCGATCTGTTTACTTATTTCATATGGCGTTGATGACGTAATCGCCAAGAACGAGGACTACAACTATAGCTGTTTCTAAAGGATGTCACACTATACTTTGCATCGACTTGAGTTAAGCCCGTATCGTCAGTCGTCCCTACAATTGTAGGGCGCGTTTATGGCCTCCTTGATTGTCATACTCCTTTCTCTCCTTCAAAAATTTCTAGATTACACTTGTCCCGTGTCAGCGTCAGCGCTCTCGTATTGTGAAGATATGTTTTCTTTTTAAATTGTAGGAAACTTCAGGCTGAAAAAACATGATATAACTCAAAAGCAAGCACAATTTGATGCAAATAGATGTTTGTGACATTTTGGTCTCATTTTGCTTCTCACGCCTAATGGCGGAGGAGGTATGTAACTACGAAAAATTTCGAAAATGACATATTGTTTTTTGGATGTCATATACATCACGAAAAACCATGTCACTCATTTTCGTCGGTCTGTCTGTCCGCTAATCCTTGGTCCATTTATAACTTGGAAAATCGAAAAAAATAAAAACTTCAAACTTCGTTTTTTGACATTTCAGGCGATTCTCATCATTTCTGAAAAAAATTTGGGAGTGAGCATTTGGGGGCGGAGGGTTGTATGGTGTAGGGGAGGGTGTATTGCAACTATTTGTTGATGTTATTAAATTTAAACAGTCATCACAGATAAATGAAACATTGGAACATTTAGATAACACTGATCAACAGCCAAAAAATATCCTAAATAAAATCAACAAAATATTACTATTTTTAATGTGCTAAAACCGGAATGAAACTTATTTTTTCAATATTAGTTCAAGTTTTAGAGATACGGTAATTATATGTGTTCCTGCTATGACAGTGTTAATATCCTGTAATTCACAAGAATGCACGTGCTACATTTTTATATTCGGCAAGGAAAGATGATGTAAAATCGGCATGATTGTGTTACGTTATACATACGTGTACATAATATTGTTTTATATTAGCCATTTTTTCCTCAGTTGGCTGACAGCGTTCATGCAAGATGTCTCGAAACTGTGTAAACAATCCAGATCAGTTTTGTTACGTGTGTGGTGATGTGACTTTTGCGTCTCAGAGACGGTCTATTACTCCACTCATAACAAAGGCATATCAGCTTTATTTTGGTTGTAAACTAGGTGATCAAGACAAACAGTGGGCACCCCACATCTGCTGTAATACATGTGCTTCAAGTCTGAGGAGCTGGTTAAATGGCAAAAAACGGTCTATGCGCTTTGCTGTCCCAATGGTTTGGAGAGAGCCTACAAATCATATTAATGATTGTTATTTTTGCATGGTACCTTTTATTGGACAAGCCACAGGTATGTCCAAGAAAAAAAAATCGGTTATTAACTACCCAAACATACCATCTGCGATGAGACCTGTGCCTCACAGTGACGAAAATCCTATTCCAAAACCCCCAGAATCCTACACTTGCGAATCAGAAAACGAATCAGATCATGGCGATCGAGTGATTCGTCAGGAAGAAGATATGCCATCAACGTCAAGAGATCCTGATTTTATACCGAGCACGTCATGCCACCAACCGCAACAAAATAACACAGTCAGAATTAAATGATCTTGTAAGAGATTTAGAACTTCCAAAATGTAACGCAGAGTTACTTGGATCAAGACTGCAGCAGTGGAACTTGTTAGAAGACGATGTTTCGGTATGTGTCTTTCGTAAACGTCACAAAGATTTAGAACCATTTTTCAATATGGAGAATAACTTGGTTTTCTGCAGTAACATTAACGGCTTACTGGCGGCTTTAAATATAAACTATAACCCAGAAGAATGGAGATTGTTTATAGACAGTTCAACATTGAGTTTAAAGGCAGTGTTATTGCATATTGGAAATATTTTACCATCTCTTCCTGTAGGGTATGCAGTTCACATGAAAGAATCATATGACAATATGAAGTACCTATTGACATGCATAAAATACGATGAGCACCAATGGCATATTTGTGGCGATTTGAAAGTTGTTGCACTTTTACTTGGGCTGAAGCTAGGCTACACAAAGTTTTGCTGTTTTTTGTGTGAATGGGACAGTCGGGCAAAGGCACTTCATTACACCAGACAAAACTGGCCTGTTCGTCAATTCCTAGAGCCAGGTCAAAAAAATGTAGATTCGAAAAAAATTTTATTACCACCACTGCATATCAAGTTGGGCCTAATGAAAAACTTTGTCAAGGCATTAGATAGAGATGGGTCAGCTTTTCAATACCTGCGTCAGAAATTTCCAAGACTAAGTGAGGCAAAGGTTAAAGAAGGTATTTTTGTTGGGCCACAGATTCGAAATATTTTGAAAGATACACAGTTTGAAAACACTTTAACAGGTATTGAAAAAACTGCTTGGAATGATTTCCGTCTGGTGGTCACTAATTTCTTGGGAAATAGAAAAGCTGACAACTATAAAACCCTTCTCAAAAATATGCTGTCATCGTATCAAAAGATGGGCTGTAATATGTCTCTTAAGATACATTTCCTACACTCACACCTGGACTTTGAACGTTTTCATCAGGATATTTCAACATTGGAAAAAGGTACCAGGGAAAGTGGAATCCTTCCATGCTTGCAGACTACTGTTGGACTCTTGGTAGAGATGCTCCAGAAACGATCCATAAAAGAACAGCAAAAAGACAGCGCATATAGTGATTCTTATAAGTATATGAATCTTGTTACTTTTTTTGATATATCCTTAAAAATAAAGGTTTTTTTTCTAAACCGCAACTAATTTTTTTATTTCATTGTCATTTTTGGATTCAGCGGCCCAAAATTAACAAAGAAGTGCACTTTTCCCACAAGATACAATTAAAAAACTAAAATTTGTTGTCCAGTGTAATTTGGGGAGCTGATTTCGAATACGATCGTCAATAAACGTGAAGGGCACTTGGGGCCGAATTTGAGATATAAAATAGATTGTTTGGTAGTTCCGTGGGTGCTAACGTCAAAATCAGATTGGAAACAAGTTTTTGAATAGATTATACATATACGTACAGAGGTTTTTGAATTAATAGTGAAGCTAAAAATAATATAAAACCCAAAACTTCCAATTTCGCTAGCCGTTGTTATAAGTGGTTTACGATACAGTAATACAGGGTGTAAACGTTAGGATAGTCATTATTTAAATGGGTGCTAGAGGAGGTTAAAAGGAGCAAAAAGTTTCATATAACATGGGGGTCAAAACGGCATTTTTTTAGAGAAAAGCGACAACGTCTGACAACGCCGCAATGCCAGATGCAAATTACGACGGAATGCAGTGTAAATGAAGATGGAGTTTGTTATTTTTGGCTCTCAGGCATTATTTCATTATTTGATATTGTACTACTTTTTAAA